ACAAACGTTTCCCCCCCTACTTCCCATGCCCCTCTGCAGATGAGCAGGGGAAGTGTTCAATTTGCTGATATCCTGAAGTGGCTTGCTTTTTAAGTAACTTTACAATATTAGAAATTGACACCAGAAGGATCTTTGACAGCTGCAAGGCTTGATTTTGATCCATTCCCAGAGATCGCACATGCTGGAAAATGGATCAAACTAGAGTGAATCACCTGCACAAAAAATAAAATAGAAGATCTGAATAGAAGACCTGAAAATGGTGTGTGTAGGGGGACAGATTGATCCACTCTAGCAATCATGTAATCTGATTGCTGGAATAATGAGCAAACCAACCCATCCCCACAGACGACTCCACACATTTTTTATTCTTCTAGGGCGTGGAGCTGTATGCATGTGTGCAGGCACCCCCCACATAAAGCTCAGTGCACTCCAGTGCCTTGGCAATCTCCACACAAATTGCTGTTCAAGGTTTGCTTCCAGGAGCAGATAAATGGTCATCTGAGAAGCTCGGGAACACCCCCCCTCGGCACCATTCAAGGAAAAGTGAAGAGGGTCTTGCCAGCAAGGGCATGTGCGGGATTTGTTCAGCCCTGACCTAATACAGCATGTCTATTCCAAGAATGGACAAAAAGTAGAGTGGGATATACTGTGTTTTTTTTTTGGGGGGGGTGACTTTCAGTAGGTCAGAAAGTGTTTTTGACTTCTAGCTACTTAAAAATAGAAACAATTAGAAAGCTCACTGCTAAAATAAAGAAATCCTGGATAGAAACCATGAGGGTTTTTTTAATTCATGAAAAAACTAAGAGTGCAGTTCTGCCTGCATTGGCAATAAAGATAGACTTCTGGGCTACTGAACGTATGTCCAATTGTTTTATTCTAAGTGAATATCTGCATCACCAAACTACTATGTAAACAGTTCACGCCTGTTGATGGATGTGTGTCATCTAATAAAAAACAAAGCCAATCCCACAAGCCTGAAAGCTGCTGCCTTCAGGTCTTCATTGATCTGCAGTTCTCCATGCTGTCAGGCAAAGACAGATCTCTGGCTCTCTACTTGTGATCTACATTCTGAATGCAGATCAGCCATCCCCAACCTATTGCTCACCCAGTGTGTTGGATAACAACTTTCATTATCCCCAACTGGCATGGAGAACAGTCTGGTGGCGAAGGCTGGGATAAAGCGTAAGCTCTAGTAGTGAACTATGGTCCTAACTCCAAATTTTGCAAACAGAAATCACTTCAGTGAAGGAAACTACATGGGCTTCATGTGCCATCTGTGAGAAATGCATGCCCCTCCACTTATGAAGCCATGTGTACAAGCAGAAATTAAATGCTAAACTAGCAAATAAATCATTAAAAAAATTAAAATTATCTTTATTTTTCTGATCAGGAAGAAAATCTCAAAATAGAACACAAATGTATTTCCCCCCCCAGGAATATTTTGGTTTCTAGAACGGAAATGTAACATATTAACTTTAAAAAGTTGACATTTTGGGCCAAGTTGGATACCTTAAAGCTGAAATGTAAGCACTGAAAAACTACATGCTCATGAAAAGCAGCAGTCATAAAGCGGGAATGAACTCTAAAGCCATTCTAGACCTTCCTTCCATCGATAAAGGCTGGCTCTGCACAGAGAAAATGCACAAAGAGCAGAATAAATTTAGGGCATTTAGGATGCAGCAGAATTGTCCCTCCAAATTCTGCGGTGTAAAATATGGGTTCTGATATGCAGCTATTGACATCAAAATCCAAACATGACGATCTCCGAGTTATTTTCTGAACTAAAAATGTGAGAATATGTCTCCCGGCCACATTCATTTCAACTTATATTCCCTTCTTGTCCAACCGCAGCCACAGTTATTACTTGGTATTCAGATACTTTTCCATATAAATGTGGCTTAGACAAGACGTTGGTGCCACCCCTATGGTTTAGTTCAAGGTCCACCAACAGATGATTGCAGCAGCCTCCCATCGTTTCTCAAGGTACACCCATTAAATGGAGAGCATTCCTTGGCTTGTTGGCTGATATTGGGTAGATAAATTTGCTACAGACTACCTTAGATATTTTGAACATCCCAAACAATGCTTACCTGACAGATCACTTTTGCCTGCATTATTCTAGATTCATCCCTTCAAGATCTCATTTTCAAGTCTTTTTCTCACCATCCTATATTAAACTGATAGCACAGAAGAGAGAAAGATCTGGTCTTCCTGATGCTGTGGCCTCCAACTCCTATCAGCTATACCCATTGTGGCCAATGGCAATGAGAAATGCAGTCTAAAATACCTGGAAGCCCAAAGGCTTCCTATTACTGCTGTATTGTTTTGTGAGTTATCTTGTTCTAATAGGCAACTTTTTCTTGCTTAAGAGTCTAGAATGTCTTTTGACTGAATTGCCCCAGCCATGGCCTCACACTAAGATGTTTAGAGCAGCGGAGACTTCAGTACTATACACAGCACAGAGAATATGAATGCCAGCATTGGAAAAAATATGGGGGAAATCTCCTGGATCATACCTGAATGAATGTGTTTGCACCTACTATAGCAACATGCCCCTACCCAGTCACTCAACTTACCGATAAGGCCATCACTGTTCTGCCTGTAGTAAAAAAAAGCAGTTATTGTACTCCACAGCACTTTCCCTCTCTTGTACACACACACACTTTTTGTTATCAGATCCATTCAGAAAAGTCACCACCACACAATAAAACAGAATTATGTTTTGACAGCTTTCCTGTTCGGAATCTGAGGTCTGAATTTTCCTGTAGTTATGATTAGTGATGATGTCGAAGATCATAATTACTTGGTTCAATATAGGAATTTGTCCACCTCATAATGCTTGGCTGTATTATAAATTGAATGTAATTTGCGTCAGATGTTCTTCTCTGGCTTTGAATGTTAAATGAGCTTCTCTGCCTGCATGATCAGCATTTGGCAGACAAGTCATCCAAAATTGGATGCTCTGTAGGCATGTGCATGGAAATTCATCAGTGTTAACCCCTTACTCTAGATAAAAGTCTCAATGCCATGAAATTAGCTGAATTTAAAAAATACATATGCAGTTTACAAATGATGCTATGCTGACAGGAAATAATTGCAAAAGGATGGCATCTATGTTTGCTACAGCTTCATCAACACACAGGGTAGCAAAACCAACTATGGTTTCTTGGGACACATTAAAACTAACATACCTAAAATGCATCTGTGTGCAAGAGCCAACAGTGGGAGTCATGGAAAAGCTCATGAAAACAGTAGAGCTCTTTTCCTCTCTGAATTTATGAGAGCACTCATAAATACTGAGTCTATTCTGAACTGAGCCAAGGGGAGTCCTGACACTGCTAGTTATAATCATGGGCTTTCTGAGCGGGAGATTGTCTTTCACTGGTGTAGACACTGTTCTTCCATAGAGGAAATCCTTGTTGAAAGGCTTATGGCAAGCTATAGTAGGGTGGACAAAAAGTAGATTGGAGTTTATTGGTAACTCTCTTGTAGTAGATAACTAAGAGTTTTGGACTTCCAGCTGTTGAACAAGACAGCTTGGTGCTCAAATGAAAAAATGGCCAAGTGAGAACTGGGGTGTTTGCAAGGAGGGGAAGATGAATAGGCTGAGGCTTCTAATCATTCTGCCTAGTAGTCTGATTTGGCCTCCTTTCATCGTGTTTCTCTACCCCACGGAACCACAATGCCAATATCAGGAACTTGGGGATCTAATTAAACCCCCCAGCATATATCTTACAAGCCTTACGTCCAACTCCTGAGCATGAGAGTAAGAGTGAATAAGATATCATCATGGTGGCAAACCTTTTGAAAAATGTAAGGTTGCCTTAGCCAATGTCCTGAAGTTTCAACCAGGTCCTTTCCCTTGGAAAGGATAAGACCACGAACACATAACTCAATGGTTTATAGAATCAGTGGGCAGAGCAGAAATCTAGTAAGTGACCTTTCCTGCAATGCTGGAAAATATTGTAATAAAATAAAGGGCTGACAATTTGCTGCATTTTAATGATACAAAAAATCTGCTACCTGGAATAGGCAACATTACCCTGTTGAAATAACATAAATAAATAAAAAGCAAAGCAAAGTGTGTTACTTAAAGCACTCTCTGGGTGGTTTACATTTTAATTATGCAGGCTACACATTGCCTCCCCCCCAGCAAGCTGGGTACCTAAGAAGGATGGAAAGTTGAATCAACCTTGAGCCAGCTACTAAGACCGGCATTGAACTCAGATCATGAACAGAATCTCCACTGCAGTATTGCAGTTTAACCACCGTGCTACGGGGCTCCTAAATAAATAAATTAAAAATATAGTAGTAAGGCCAACATCTCAGTGACCAAGTTCATAGACCAGATTCACTGGATTTTCTAGGAAGGTATGTGGGTCGAAACCAGGGAGTTTATATGCATCATTTTCCCATATGACTTCCACAAGAGAGAAATGTCTTGAAAACCTCTGCTTTGATCCCCTCTATTGTTCTCAAGAATAGCACTCAACCTTAGAGTTCTACTCCTTTCAAGATCTGCACAGTGAAAGACAGTGTTCCTAAACGTATGAATATATGCCTTTTTCTATTTACAATTTAATTTGTTGAAGAGTATTATAGGACTTTGTTTAGAGAATCTGTTTGGCTATTGGATGGACACTAGGGAAATGGGTTCTAAAACAATAAATAGGTGATAACCACACATATAACATTGTGGCCCATCAGAAAGTGGGTGAGAATAATATCTTATTAGGTATTATAATTATTATGAGATATAATTCTTGTTTATCTTGTTTAGGTGTCAATACATAAAAATGTATGAGTGAGGTGATATCACTGATTTTTGAATTCCAGGAAGCAAATTAGTAGCTGTCAGCAATTGTTTGAAACTGGTAGCCATAGATTTCTGACTGCTGAAATTAGTATACGTAAGGAGGATAACCTGATCTTGCTTCCATTTTATTTTTTAAAAAATCTTGCCTTAATATTTGGTACTTAGTGATTTTTGTACTTTTTAGGTTGCTTGTTGATAGAACTCCAACTGCTATAAGGTATGTTTTTCATAGTTGCTTATCTAGAAGTTTAATATCTGCCTTCGTTCGTTTAGTCGTGTCCGACTCTTCCAAGATCAAATGTTTTCTCCATGATAGTTTACTTGTTCCAGTTTAGTACCACAGTTTTGTTTTCCAAAACTGGAGCTTGTTGGAATTTGTAATATGGAGTAAAAGATGTGAATAATCCATAGGATTTGACTGCTAAAAACACCTGTACATGCATTCCAGATATAATATGTTGAACTGTTTCTTTAGCTTTGTGAGAGACTGTACATCACCACCACCACGACCACCACCACGTGTTATGGAACTTGGAGAGGAAAATATATGGCATCTGAAAAAGGAGCTATATGCTTGTCTTTACAGATTTTTACACTAAATGTTCATATATACCTGCAGATCTAAATGAGCTGCATTCAGGGCTGGTCTCCCTGTGCAACAGACTGAAGCGACCCACATCAGGTGGTGGCTACAAGGACAGATGATGATGAAGGCAGGAACTGGTACCTGAAAGGAGGGTAGAGACTACATGTAGACTCCACCTCAGGCATCAGAACGTTTTAGCCTTGCATTAGGTGTAGGACCATTCATCAAAGAAGATCATGGATAATGGCTGAGCAAGTTTTGTTTTAACTAGGAGTTAGACTGTATTTTCATATCAACATTCTCATCATATTTTTCATTAAATAGTTAAGACTGTTCTCTGGCTTGTATAGAGTCTTTGATTAAAAAAATATCCCTCACAGTGGGATCAGATGTGCTCTTTCAGCTTGTAACGTGAATTGCAATATAGTTCATTCTAATATCTCAAGACTTTACAACCTGTTCTGTTTGCTATACAAATCAGGCCTGAGTGAATGAGAAGACAAGTCTTGTCCTTACCTGCAAGACAGGCTACTTCCTCCTCACCCTGTTGTCTTCAGGCAGGAGACTGTCTCAATTCTCTGCTTGGGGTTAAAATTCTGGAGAACCCACATGCCTCAGCTTTCCCCTTGGGTTATCATTCAGCCTGAGATTGTAAGCTTCCTGTCATAATAACCACAGCCTCTAGACTGTAGTTTATTTCCATGGAGTGTAAATTGGTCCTCATTAAAATGCAATTTTCCAAGGCACTATGGGAGATCGTTCTCTGTAAATGTCTTGCTCATTTATTAAACATCATCCAAGGCCAATCAGGACAAATGAAAAACAGTGGAACGTGAAGACAGGATTTCTAAGGCTGGCACCTCCTGTGCAGAGAATGCTAGTCCTGACATTGGCAGGCTGGATAGTGGCAGCACTCTGTGGCACCTCTCTGTGACAAAGGAAGGAGGAGCTGTCAAGGTAAGAAGCAGAATCCAGCACAGAACAGCACCCTGCCAGAGGTGACAGATATGTCCATGCTTTGATCTTTTCCTTTAAAAAAATCTCAGTAGCCTAAACATGGAGAGGTCCCATCAATGTTAGGCCAGACCCTAAAAGGTGCCATGTAGACATGTGAACCACACTAGCACTGTTCCCACCTAGGCCGCAATATCTCATCTCCTGCACAAGGTGTTTGAGCTGCAGATACTCTACGGCATGACTAGAGGTTAAATTCAGTTTGCATTGCCTACTTAGGCATAATCCTCTAGCAAATGATTTGTTTTCATTACATTATAAGGTCATGAAGCACTTTGTGTGAAATCGTAGAGAACTCTTTCAGACTTCTTAGGGAGTTTGCCAACTAAGCCCACTTCAAGAATAATTCCCATTAACAGCTTTGAACACTAACTAGACGCAACAACCACACATGTGGGCCTATGAGTTTTGGGATGTGCCATCCTTGCCTTTTCTTTTCACTAATCATACAGCCCAAGCAATAAGCTTCTAAATAACCTGAAATCCCCTCCCCCGCATTTCATTCACTCTTCATTTCAGACATTTTACAATGATTCGCTGTGACCTTTTATGGAGTTGTTTCACACATCACCTAAAATGAAGTATAGTTTTAAAATTCATTTTGTGAAAGTAATCCTTCACTATGAAGGGCAAAACCTATTTCTTCCTCTTTGGAATACAATCCTTACCATGATCAGGATGTAAGTGCAAATGTGAAAAGTTTAAGTAAGGATCTCTTCTTTGAATGCAAGTAGTAGAAAGAAAAGTTACCTCCGTGTTCCATATAATAATCTATGCTGCTTCTGCTCAAGAGTCAATTTATTCCAGCCATCTCTCTTCAATTGGTCAACCAGATATCCCCTGAATGCCCACAAGAAGGTCAAGATTGTGCTAGTCACCTGCTATTGCTTGTCTTCAGTATCTAGTAATCAGAATAATGTTTCCCTGAATATGAAGGATATATTTAACTTAACCATGAACTAATGACCCTACAAGGATAATGAATTAATGAACTTATGTTCCATTAAATTAGTTCATTCTTATGTAATAACTATACTATAGCTATAGTATGCATGTATATAATAATGTGAGTGCTGTATATAAATTGACATCACCAAACTAGAATGGATCCAATTGATTTGGTAGAATTTACAGAAGTATTGACTGCCCATTCAGCAATTCATTCAATGGATCTTATTTGGACTAGCAATTGGATTTAGGCCACAATCTGTTCAAATACCCATCCCACATAATATGTATGTACATACTCTGATCTTAAACTTACTGCATGTCCTCCAACTGATGTCCTGATGAAGAAAACACTAACTTGGATTAATGTGATCTTTTCCATGACATAGCAACCAGTTACGAACAAGTCATATTCTTATTAATCGCTGAGAAGCTAGACTGCACCTCTCCTGTCAGATGGATGAAATGTCTCACAGAACAACTCAATCACAAGATACAAGGTGAATATATTCCTATTACATATTATAGCCAGTAGAAGCTGTGGCTCACCTTTCAGTCAACAGAATACAGAAAGCTCATGTGTCCAGAAAATTGGGTTCTTATGCTTATGATAAATACCAGTTTGATAGATCAGAACTATCATTTTATAATTATGCTAAATAACAGCACAACATCTGACAGCTATTAGTCTAAATAGCTTTTCATTCCTAAGTGATTAATAACACTTTATTAAAGTACCTGACATTTACTTGGCAGGGCTAAATGTTCAAATAAGTCAGTGCTGAAATCACCCTCCCTTTTGTTTTGGGACCAGTTGTTTCATGGCAAAGGCGGTGGGGGGGGGGAACGGATATCAGTATTTTTTTTAAAGGGGGAAGAGGTGAATTCTCAGAACTTTCCGTTCAGTTGCTTTTAATGAGGTAGCCAAGGTATTTGATTGGTAGAGCCAGCCATCTCCCAAAATGCCCCTAGGAATTATGCCATAGCATGACACAATATCACTCCTATGGGGTCTTCTCAAATTAGAAAGCAAATGTTACTCAGCACAGTGTAGCTGCCACTTGAACAGGAGCAAAGCTTTCTCATTCCTGTTAAGGGAAATTAGGACCTCTACCACCTTATCCAGAAAGGTAAGCACATCACACTGAAAGTTCTGATCTTTTGCCCTCAAATACAGTGCAGCATTTTAAACCTTCCTTCTGAAATGCCAGGGAGTTGGGAATCTGAGATGAATACTATGACGTAGTGCCTATCAAGTACTGTACTAACACAATTCAGTTTGTGGATGGGTTTCATGCAGGAACAGTTTTGGTCCTAGGCTAGGCTTTATGTGAGCTATCTCTACTGCTTTATGAGTTCATTCTATGCCTCCTCTTTGCAATCTGGAAGATGACATGAATTCTTTCATTTTGGGTGGGATCCAATGGTGTCATTCTGCTAACGCAACAACTTTTGAAGCATGGGCAATTTCCTTTCTTTCCTACAGCCCTCTCAAAACCCACTCTGGACGGCTGGGAGAAAGCTTTTGGGCAACATGGAAGGTTGCAGGCAGGAGAGAAGGAGAAGAAGAAAAAAAACCCTGCGCTTACAGATGGATGCTGGTACGGCACTGGGTTTAGACCTTTTGCCTTCATGGTTCCGACAAGCCAAGGCACTTGAGAGCAATGTTCCTCAAGAAAAGGGCATTGCTGCTTCTAAGCTATAGAAAAATACAAGAATGAATTTGTAAATGAGGCTCCCTGAGACTTCATTTCTAGCTAACTGAGCCAATGATAGCTGAAAGCATGATCAAGAGAAGCTAGCATATCCTTTATATGCAGATAGGCACTTTGTTGGTCTTAGCTTAAACATTCTCACCAAAATGGAGGCTTAAACTATAAATATGTTGCAGAAAGGGGGCAGACAGGAGGGCAACTGTGGGCCAGGATCTGCATTTTGATTTTTTGTTTCTCTTCCCTGACAGTCTCACACTGTTGCTCTTCTGAACACCAACAATACCCATTTGCAAACCTAACCAAACTCTGAAGTAATTCAAAACTCATTCTATATCTGGCATACTAGGTCTAAAACAGAATGCTTCTGCTAATAGTGTGATGTTATAAAAGTCTACTCAGAATAGAGCTGCAGTGAATACAGTGGGATTCACACCCAGGTAAACATGTGGAGGAGTCCACCCATTGGCTGTTTGCTTAATTGTGAACAAGTAGTTGCTCCATTACTGAAAACATGTAACTAAACTTAGACTAGAAAGTAACACCAGGACTGAGGTGGTTTCTCCCTATTAAGAAAGCTCTTCCTTTGGTCTTATAGATCACTGGTTCTTAACCTTGGGTTACTCAGGAGTTTTGGACTGCAACTCCCAGAAGCCTTCACCACCAACTGTCCTGACTGGGGTTTCTGGGAGTTTCAGTTCAAAAACACCTGAGTAACAAAGGTTAAGAACCAGTGTTATAGATGTCAGTTTCTACTTATTTTAATCCTGCAAGTGAAAACAAAACAAAACAAACAAACAAACAAAGTCAGTTTTCTCTCTGCTGTGTGTGCATTTGTGTATTTCTCACTTTCCTCTTATTCCAGAACTTTTTTTTCTGGTGAAAAATTGATGAGATTGGGTTTTGTGTTTAAAAATGAGCAACCTTGTATTGTGGACAAAATAAAAGGACCAGTATCTTTCTGCTAGTCCCAGCTAGAGTGTACCCATTGATTCAGTAGGATGTACGTAACTGTCACCTTATAATTCAGCAGTTGATTCAGCAGATCTACTACCTAGCTGAGACTAGCTTTAGGCTATTGGACAACCTGTTTTATGCAACAAATGAGTCTTTTAACGCAAAATACAATTATTTTTGTGCAACTTCTCTAGGCTACTCAGTTGTGATAAGCTCTTGAGTGGCTACTATACATCTCCCAATTTCCTCAATCTGCTTTTCATTTCTGCTCAAAACCGGGAGAGGTTAATGTCTTAGCAACTGACTGCAAGGAAGGCATTCTGTTACTTACTAGTAAGACCTCAGTGGCTCTAAAAGCTCTGAAATCAGAAAGAAGGATGATGCTGTCTCCGCTCTTTTACAGAGAATCAATGAATGCCGATAATGGCAGCCTCAGAAATGTGAGACCTCTATGCTTTCCTGACAATGCAGTACCAGTACCCTCTTTCAATTAGAGATGGCTGGGGTAGGATTCTTTATCAGACTAGCAAGTGGTGAATAATTTTAGATTTAGTTCTCTGGATCACAAAGAATGAAGAGCATACCTGGGGCTTCTGGGTGTAAAAAGGTATGCAGGCAGAGTGATTGGAAAACTAAATCAAATTGTGGGCCACTATAAGCTGTCCATTTCCCTTTGTTAGCAAGTATATACAGAGGGAGATCAATACAAAACTCTCCTCTCCCCTGAAAAACATTGCTTATGCCCATCTACCAACCACTCTGTGTCTTCTGCAAATGGCTGTCTCTACCAATACTAGGTGCTTCCATTTGCCCAAGGTACCAGATATTGGAATTTTCCTATGTATGAGAACATGAGCATTCTTTTCCTTTGAATGAGGAGAACAAGCATTACATTTTGAAATGCAGGGAGTTTTGGACAAGACTATTGAAATGAGCAGAAGCAGCATAATGGGAACTATCAAAATAACCAAGCCACACCTAGGCACTTGAACTAGCTACGATCCAGCTCTGCAGCCTCCTTAAAATTGTGAAGCTACACAGCTTTGTTTTGTAAGTGGGACAGCCACAAAGGTGTCAGTTAAGGTGACAAAACAATCAGCCATTCTCTAGGTAATTTTAGTATCTCTAATTTAAATACCTGTGTTAATGGGTGGACAAGTCTTAAACTGCTGAAGGTACTGAAGAAGCTTGGGAAGATGGTGGGATTTCTGCAGCAAAAATGATCTTTGTTACCCCCAGAAAACAAAATTCATGAACGAGAAGTAATGAATGCACTGGTGCAATGTGCCTACTTGGAAATCTTCCCCTTCTCCTCCTGCTTATTGTAATAAAGTAAGATGTATCCAGAGTGGTTCATTGCCTCAAAGGGTTCTGCCTTATTCATACTTAATAGATCAATTCCTCCTAGCTTCATGCTATATAACCAGACCGAATGATTTTGGAGGTTCAGTAATGCCCACCTCAATTTTGGGAGCAACAAACCAGCTTTCCTGAGATAACTTAATCATTCACAGTGGTCGCATGGCATGCCTGATGCCATCATTTAGTTTTTAGCTCTGTTTGCCTTTCCTTTCCTTTTGAAATCTTATGCTCTTACTCCCTAGAATTAAGCACTCCACCTAGCCTAGTTCCTGTGAGTTTGGTCTGTTTCACGTCCTGATTCGTCTGATCATCTCTAAAGCTGAGGGCCCACTCACCATGCAATGGAGTTACAGCTGGCATGTCCTTGAGTATCAAGCACCATGTTCTCAAGACCCTGCAATTAGTACTACACCAAGAACAGGGATCAGAGTTTACACACAACTATTACAATTTCAGGTGTCATAGAGGTGACTCGGGGAGGGCTTACAAGAAGACAAGTGGTTAGCATATGATTCTCCCTGCATTAAAAACAAAACCAAACCCTGGCATGTTTGTAGAGATTGATTCTCCCAAAAAGGAAATAGAAGATGGATAAATTAATAAGGGGACGGGAAAAAAACACAACTGAACAGAGGTTCTTGCCTTAAGGCTTCCGAGGCTCATGCCTTGACATTGACTGATTATAATGCCACCATCCAGCCACTCTGCTTCGGTCCCCCGCTAAGAGGCCTTTTCTTTTACTCCCAGTGCTGGATTGGGAATCTGCCTCTGTGTTGGTGAACAGAAATAAGTATAAAGGAAGAGAGTTCAAGAAGGGGGGAAAGTGGAAGGGTGGAGGATGTCAAGAAGCTGATCCTGCAGCTTAAGTCTGTCCCCATATTTCTCCATCCATCTGCACAATCCACAACAGGTCTGTTTCACTGATGTTGTTGAGCTGATGTTGGGGAGAACAAAGGTGTGAAGGATGGTTCAAAGCAAATTGCACATGGACAAGTAAATACATGAGAGTCTTGAAAATATGTATGGAGACTCCGAAGCACATGCAGTGGGGGCAAGATGGTCACCGTGAGGAGGGAGTGGCCCCCAGTGAAGACAAGTGGGATGTTGTTTGGAAGGGTGAGGCAGTGGTGCTGCAGCAAACAGAAAGTAGACAGAACCAGCCAAGAAAGATTGTAACACAGAGCTCCAGAGGAGAAGCACTGTGGTAGAATGTCTTTTAAACTGTGGCTCTGCAGTCAAGAAGGTAACAGTTCTGGTAAAAATTTGTGCTTTAGTATATTTTGTTTTCATTTAAAACAAAAGTTTCCACTTCCCTGAGGAAGTCCCATCCACTGTTTCCAGGGCAACATGGCCTTTTCCCTCTTTCATTTATCCTTTTAAATATTTTTTTTCTTCCTTATCTTTGCTTTTCTTTCCGTTATTTGCATCACTTCTTTCCATTGCTTCCTCCCTCTTTCTCTTGTGGTTTTTTCCTCCATACTTGTTTTGTTTTTTAAACACGATGACTTCCTCCAAGAATCCTTCAGGTTCTGAGCTGGATCCCTTTGTGTGGTCATGCTTATTAGTCTTTGGTAACATATGGACACTTTGGTGTGCCAGTGAGGAGGGGGAGGAAGAGGAGCCGAGGTGACCAAGTAGGAAAGGAGGAGGAATGTCTCAGTTTGAAGGCGGGAGCACTCGCTTGCTATCATCTGAGCAGCACATAGAGGAAGAAAAGAAGCGGTCCACAAAGGGAAGGTATGTGTTGGGTAATGGCACCATTTCCTGGAAGGGCAACCTCTGTGGGACAAGGAAGAGACGATTGGTTAGTCACAGAAACCTTCCCTTGCTGGCAAAAGAAGTAATGGTGGATGGAATGAGGAGATAAACTAAAGAACAGGAAGGAATCACAATTCTGGAGAGAGCTAGACTATGAAAATAGAGGAAGTAATTTAAGAATTTAAGAATAGGATGTACTTCACGAAGGAATAATACTGCACAACCAGCTATACAGTGGTGCCTTGCAAGACAAATGCCTCGTAGGATAAAAAACTCGCAAGACGAATCGCTTTGGCAATGGGGTTGATGACTTGCAAGACAAATGTTCCTATGGCCATGCTTCACAAGACAAATGTTTTCCATTTTTTGTTCCTGCCTCATGTTTGCTGATTTTTAAATGTTTTTCTATGATGTTTAAAAAGTTAAAGTTTTTTGATTGAAATTTTTAAATCATCTGCACAATATGTATAGCTTTAAAGAGCACTTAATAAACCCTTTGTAAACCAAATTTGACTTTGTTCTGCCTTTTTTTTGCCCATAGGAACACATTAATTAGATTTCATTGCATTCCTATGGGAAAACGCGTTTCACAAGACAAATCTTTCGCAAGACATTAAACGCGGAGCGAATTAAATTCGTCTTGCGAGGCACCATTGTACTATGAAAATACAGGAGATAATCCAAGGAATAGGATGGATCTCAGGAAGAAATCATACTAGTCGTCCAACTATATTATGAACATAGGTAACAAATAACAAATAATTGAAGAATGAAGCAGCAAAAACATAACAGGGGATGTCCAAGAAGAATGTTTAATGAGAGAACATAGGAGGCTGTCTTATAGCAAGGTTAGACTACTTGTCAGTCTAGCCCAGTGTTGTCTGTCTGAATAGCAATGATTTCCAGGATTTTCCTTTTCAAATCTAAAAATACTAAGGATGAATCTTAGGACACTCTGTCTTCAAAGTATGCACTTTATATTTCAACAATGGCTCCTCAGGATACTGTAAGCATACTTTGACAGAAGCATCTAATTAAATTTCACATACCACAGTCCTAAACACCTTTCCTGAGAAGTAAGTCTTACTATAACATATTATATCAATAAGATTTAATGAAAAGCTAGACTTCTCAGGCATGAGCAGCTTTGCAATTGCCAGGTGGGGTAGGGTGGGCAGTGTGACTTCAGACAGATATATACAAATCCCCCTCCCCAGGTATCTGCCTCATCCTGTACATTAAAATTAATACAGGTTTATAATACTGTAATCAATAAAGAGGTTCAAGTTTTGTCCCACAGTACTTTCCACATCTTATCATGGTTTAATTATGTGGCAAAAAATTCTGAACAACAAAGTTTCTACGTGTTACAAAGTGGCTAAATTCTTGAAGGTTGTGAAGCATGTTTGCAGGTCATGCCAGAAATAGTGGCTGGAATCCTACTGATGTTTGTATACGGTTTGAGTTCATTGCTGCAGCTAACTATTAAGGCACTGGAGTTGCAAAATCAGGTGCATAACTAGGCACACAACCAAGATGTACTGTGGCACCTCATCAATTTGTTGCAATTAGCGTGGCAAGTTATATAACCTTACATGAACACCAATGGTATTGTTGCCACTGATGCCAGCTTGGCACACTAATGAGTAATAAAAAATAAAATAAAATAAAATAAATCAAAGGAGGCAGATGTGTACAGCTTGGTCAACCATGACACTACCTCTGTTTCCCTTGCCTTTGCAATTCACTTGTGCATGCACTAGTGAGGCTTATCACTCACCTTTATTAGGGACATTTGGTTTCCTTGGACAGTCACCTTTTCTTAGAGTGACATCATCAATGGCAATATCTCCTTCGGAGCCTGTGCCACGGACACCTTCAAAGATGATCTGCAGAATAGGACATACATTTTTGGAAGAGAAACTCAAAGGGAACCCCACCCTATATAAATTAGTACTCTGTTATCTATGATACAGTACTGTGATAGCTTTTTAAAAGAACCAAAAAATATATAGTAGAATAGAACAATACAAAGTTGTCTTGGGCTTGCTGTATTCATTAAATCTTATTACAAACTCAAGGATTAATTTAGAACATCCTTTTAAACCTATCAATCATCCAGAAAACTTAAACAGTGTATTGGTCATGGCTTTTATAATACAAATCCTGGTATTTTTAGTTTGCTGAGACACAGATAATTCTGCTAACAAATTGGTACCACAAAATGATACTTGGAGCTCAATTCTGGGTGGATTAGCACAAATGTAAGGACAACCATAGTCAAAGGGGCTTATTCTCAGGGAAATATGTGACGGCTTAAATGCATACATAGGAGTAAGTTCCACTAAATTCAGTGGGACATATCTGAATATAATGCTCCTGTGAATGGGTGCGAGAATCAAACACACAAGTGTAACATCTCATTCCAGCCCAAACCTACTAGTTCTTTCACAACTTTTACCACATCTTTGCTATCCTCCCACTTAACCTCTTGATATCAAATGTATGATTAACTTTCCCAATCATAACTGTGGATGTCATTCTACAAATTATGCAGAATGATACAGAAGGATGGAGATAAAATTTTGGATTATACTCCAATTGAAAGTACTCCAATTCTTCAGCCTCAGATTTTCAAATTTTCCTCTCTGTATTTAGTTTACTACGTATAGTTAATTAGCATGTACAGCAAGGCAATCCCTAGGATGATAAAGAATGCCGTGGATGAGAAATGTGTTCAGTATCCTCTTCTGTGGTAAGATTTGCACAGCCACTTGAAGGTTTAGGGGGTCTGTGGCAGCATGATATTGGGGGGTCCTGCATCCGCCAGTAAGAATTGAAATGTGAACTACAAAGCTGGGGCCACGTGTGAAAATTCCTGGATGCACAGATTATATGTGACAATTCTGTTACAATGACTCCTTGCCCAAATATCAAACAGAATGATAGATGTACTTCATGTTTTCTTGTATAGGGATAAGGCAATAAGGATTAGGTTGTGCTTCTCCTGAGTATATCTTCTAAGTTCCAGACCCCTTCTGGCAGATATTCTTTTTGCTTCCTCAGCCTCAATTACATAGATCTTCTGATTATGGCCTGCAGCTGGTCCTCTCCACTTTTCACTCACTCTTCCTTTAAGTCTGGACCCATATTACTTGTTCTGTTGTAAATGCCACCAAAAATTACTCACCACTGGTATCTTGCCAGGCAATTTTAGGTGGAAGTCACTCACTCACTTACTCATTTACCTCCTTCCTGGTAATCTGGCATTGTTGTTGTTTTGTGACAAAAAGACACCACTTCTTCAGTCACATAACCACAAAGACTACCTTGTTCCTTCTCTCCTGACAACATACTCACTAACCAGGGCTACATGGCCTGACCATCTTATCTCTATTGCTGACTAGATATAAAGAATTAAACTCATTGTGATTTGTTGATGCTCCATTGCATTGGGTCCCCACTAGAGATGGGGATAAATATAAAAACAAATCAGAAAATTCATCAAAAATTTCTGACTCGTTGATTCAGATTGGTCCAAAACGGAGAACCCAAACTTTTCCAAATTAACATTTTTTCTGGATTTAATGAACTTCCTGGTTCGCCCTCCTCCACAACAGCCTGCCCCACCTCCTTCCTACTGCCCCCCCCTCTCTCTGTGTGTGTATAGATATATAGATATAGATATATATTAGCTGGACACTACTGGATGATTTTGTTTGTGGTTTGTTTGGGAATAATTCTTAAATTCATGGTTCATGATTGTCTACGAACCACAAACCAAGGCAAGCCACCATTTTGGTGCTTTGTCCCCATCTCTGCTCCCCACCCCTACTTCCAGCCTCCCAAGGATACTTTTTACAGCCAAATTAAGAGTGACCAAAGGAACAAAAATAATGGCTCTAATCTGTTCTTCAGTATAGTGAGTGCACTTCAATACTCTGACCAGTTTCTTGACCCTCAAATAAGCGTCTATTCTGTTTCACACACAACTGTAAAATATTTATTTCTTCACAGGTGGGTAAAAGTCCCATGACATCTCAATTTCACGTGGAGGTTCACTGCCGTTTTACACTCTAAAGTGCCATTTTACTTTCTATGAAAACTCTAAACTATATGTTAAGAACTCTGGTGAGCAATGCGGCAAGCTCCATGCAAGGGCTGATGAAATGCACAGAAACGGAGGCTGTGGGTTGCCACAGTTCTTTCTGCCGCCCCCTTGGAAGCCCTGCAGCTCTGTGGTGTTATCAAGTTTTATGGCTTATGCAGGATTGCAAAACATAGTAGTGTAACAAACAGGGGTTTAAGTTTGTTGATTATGTCATTCTGGCAGATGATTAAAAAAATTATAGTTTTTTTTCTCTGCTCAGCAAAACTACAAGAGACTTTGTTTACCTTTGGTGCATTTGGTACTTTGTTACAAAATTGTCATTAACCCCCCCTCCCATTTTACACAAAAAACCTTTTGTTTTGTACAGAAAATAACTTGTATTTTGCAGACAACACATGGGCTTTGAGCTTTCTTTGTACAAACACTAAAGATGATGATGATGGGGGGAATGTTGCTCTTCTCATTCTCACATGTAAGTGAAAAATCTTGCCATAAGTGTGTCAGTGTGTTGAGGCCCTGTTTTAGATGAGGATGGTAAGCTTTGTATTTGTCCTGTCCTTCATAACAAGTCCTGCTCTTCCCAGACTATCCAGAGGTGATATCTCCAGCTACCTCTTATTTGCTGCTCTGCTGTCCATGCACTCCTGTTCTAGGAAGTTTCTGTTGTGTTATGTGCAGGATTGTCAAAGGATGACTTTCACAGAGCTATAGGACTATACTCTTTCTTATGTTCAGAGTACGCACATGGACACACATAAAAGATTCTTTTTCCTGAGCTTGAACACTCCTATCTCATCTAGAAGAATGTGGCCTTCTGTTGCAGTTTTATTATTCATCTTAAAGAGATGCTCTCATAGATACTATAGTCTCCCAGCATGTAACTTCTTCAGCAGTCTCTTCCTGGCTGCTTTTTTAAAATTTTGGAAATTACTTGCTTTTTTGTCACTCTTGCTTCCTTGCAAACAGCACATTAAAAAAACAAGCCAAAACGAAAATTAACTCCTTCATCTCAGCTTCGCTTGGCATCCAGGTTGACTGCAGCATGCCTGGCTCTAAGAACAGCCTGGTATACGAGCCCATGGCTACAAGAACTTTCTGTATGATGGGCTGGGTTAGCTCATGTGGAAAATGGTTTATATGGTTTCTGTATTTGCAGCATGAAAGGTAATAGTTGTGAATTCCACCAGCTCAGACTTCCTCTGTGTTCTGTAATTTGGAATGAGGTTCTTTATTCTATAGGATTGACAAAATGGCATCCTTGCTCATCTTTCCTAATATATGGGAACATAAATATAA